TGGCTAGAGATCCTGGCTAGGCTGCTGATCAACTGAACGCTGTCTCCATGTCATTCCTTCTTTGCCAACTCCGTCCACACCTTTGGGGACCCCTGGACCTGCTGGGGTTGGACTCCAACAATAGCTGCCTATGCTTGGCATACAGGCACATGGGAGAGGTCTAGCTTGGGCCTGAAGCTGGCTGTCACCAGCATTGGGCTTGGGGCTACTGAGCAAGAATCATAGGGCACTGTGAGGCCAGCCACCTCTTGCCTGAGCCTTCAGACTTTGTAGAGTTTTTAAGAAAGTTTGCAGCATTGGCATAGGCCAGTTGCATGTGAGGTGCAGCTGCTGAAAGAGCCAAGGTTGGTACACATGTTGGGAATTACAGGATCTCAAGAAGGCCAGCAGTGTTTACCATTTTATTGCAGATTCATATTTGGCATCTGGTTGTGCCTACAGGCTATGCAGGGGGAGAGCTCAATACAGGGGCAATGGCAGCTGTCCCTCTAGTACTTCCTTGGCAGTCACATAACTCAGTATCTACTCATATGTCTCTGGTGCCTTTTGAGCTGCTGTTTTTTTTCTCTGAAGCTTAGGGTGAGTGCTTGTGATCTAGCAAGTCTGTGTTCGGACTCTTTAAGAGGACATCTGGGTTTCCAGCAGCCCTCTTCACTGGGAGAGTATTCCCACTGATTCTCACAGCCAGCTCTTATGGGGACTCCTCTTCCTGGCACTGGAGCTCTGGCCTGGGGAGCCCAGTATGGGGTTGGGACCCCTCACATCTCAGGGGTACCTCTGCAACTGAGAAATCCATCCTGATTCTCAACCCCCACAAGTATATGTGGGACAATCTGTTTTGCAGCTCTGCCCTTCCTATTGATCTCGACATGGCTTCCTCTTTATACTGTAGGATTATCATTTAGTTAGTCTTCAGATGGTTTTCCAGGTTGATTGTTCTTTAATTTAGTTGTAATTTTTATGTGGTCTTAGGAGGAGGCAAGCACAGTGTTTACCTACTCCTCCATCTTGACCAGAAAAATAAAGCATGTTCTTTTAAAAATTGTGGTGGATTTGAGTGGCATATGTGTCTCATTTAGCCTCAAAATTTGTTCTGTCCTTAATGCTTGCTATATGGTATATGTTCTGAAGATATTTCTCCCTTCATTTTGTTTGTGTTTCATTATGAAAAAAGGGAGACAAAGAGGAAATGTGTACTCTTGATGCATCATAATATATTTTTTAAAATATATTTTATTGATTTTTTACAGAGAGGAAGGGAAAGGAATAGAGAGTTAGAAACATCGATGAGAGAGAAACATCGATCAGCTGCCTCCTGCATACCCCCCACTGGGGATGTGCCCGCAACTAAAGTACATGCCCTTGACCAGAATCGAATCTGGGACCCTTTAGTCTGCAGGCCGACACTCTATCCACCGAGCCAAACCGGTCAGGGCGCATCATAATATATTGAGATCAATCATTCTGTGGGAGTATTTATATGGAGAAAATGTAAATTGACCTTAGCCGAATTTTGTTACACTGTGCTCTTTTACTTCTCACCCTGCTAAGCTGTTAATTATACATAGATCTGCCAAGATACTTTTAATGGTTAAAAAAAAGGAAGCCACTTTTTGTGGAAAAAAATAAATTTTTTTGTCCTATAAACACAGGTCACATTCTTTGTAAAGCTGTTGTTAATAGGCAAAAAATGTACATGTCTGTAGCAGTTAAATTGTTCTTTAAAAGACCTCTGATGGCCTTAAATGGAGCAGCAACTTAAGTGTGGTTGATATGGCTCCAAAAAACCCTCCTTTTAAAAGAGTTTCATTGTAGAGGTACACCAGGATGTACTTTTAGGTCTATAATACAGAGTCTAGGCATCATAACCACACACTTCCCTCATCTCCTTCCAACCCTGGTGTGGTAAAACCAGAGAGACACAGGATCAAGGCGAGTCTGAGGATTTGCAGGGAAACGGCTGTGTAAGTACAGTGAGTACAGATCTTAAAGATCTTCCCCAGACTTCTAAACAGTTGAGAAGGTAACTTGTTTGCTAAGTAGAGCAAAGTGTCTCCAGGTCTATCACTGGAACTGCTGACATAATTAATGATTTCATTCAGAGCCTGAAAGAAGGTACTTGTATTTCCTCTGGCATAGGCAGGCCAAGTTCATGTCCAAATTCTAATACTTCAGGTTGATTTTAGCTAAGAAGACTGTTGGTCCTCTTGTTGCACACCCAGAACTTGGAAGCCAAATATTATATTAGGCTATGATACTTCCCAGCCTTGAGGAGGTTGACATGTCCTAAATATATAAACAGCCACCACTATCTAAAGATGGATTACATCCTGGTGAGAAATTCATTATTCCTGGGTCAAACTAGGAAAAGTAAAAACCATAGAACACCCTCCCCTCACCACCAAACACATATCAAACTACTTAAAAAAATTGTTATTTTCCACTAAGCACATATGCAAATTTTTCTTGTCCCACTTTACACTATGAGGCTCATGGCAATTCTTGAAAATTAATTATGGTACCAGAAAGACTTTAATAACATTTCTGCTAAAAATAAGCTGGAGGCAGAGCAGTGCCCTGAATTCATGATTGCTTACATCTGGTTTCTATTTCTGTGGATTTCATTTGGTTCTCAGAGAGTTCATTCACAGCCATCACAGGTTTAGTTTCCTGTTCTCCGATGGGAGAACTTGTCTTGATGACCCATGTATTTTTCATCTGAATGCTGTACTTTTCTACATTAGGAGATTTGGAAAGGGATAATGAAAAATACATCAGGTCCAATCCAAAAATCCAAGCAAACTGAAACTTGAACAACATCTTTCATCACCTGACTTTTTCAGAATCCGGTGGCAAATAACAATGAGGAAATCACTTCATCTAGACCCTTATAAAATGAAGTAGGAGAGAGAAAAATAGAAGACAGAAAAAGGAAAGGAAGATGGAAAGAAAGGAAGAAAGAATGGAAGAAAGAAGGAATTAAAGGAAGGGCTTCGTCAATAAGAAGCTCCATGCCCACCTGTTGCCCATAAGACATAGGAAGGTATTTTTCATTTTTCTTTCTAACATCTTAACTTTCAGAACTATTTTTTTGAAGAAGGGGATGAGCTATACTGGCTGCTGATTGAAAACAATCTCTTAAACTTCTCACACTTCTCACATTTAAGGAAAAAGATGTCATAGAGCCTGACTTCCTGATGATCTGGACCTGGGTAGATTCTAGAGTTCAACTCTAGTTTATAAACCATCTTATCTAATATTTTTTTTACCATCTAAAATTTCCCAGTTGTTCTCCTCTGTGT